AATTATCAGAGCATCCACCAAAGCAACAAAATTACAACAGAACAATTCACCACCATCAGCAAAATTACACTCAACATTTCCTTGCTCACGTCGTCAGGAGTGATTTTCTCAGAAGATTTTGTAAACTGACTCCTCCACTTATCCATCAACTCACAACTCTCAGATTTCGTCTTTAATTCAATAGGCTTATCACCTCCGAGGAAGCCTAATACCTTCTCCACATCAACATAATCAATGTGGATGTTGCCCTCGGTAAAACGCAACACAGAGCTAACCAGGTCAAAATTATCCAACACCCAAAAAGATAAATTGCTTGGAATCTCCTTAATGTTAAGATGCAGCAAATATCCAAACCCCGTCTTATCTATAACTCTTTTCTGATCATCATTTGATTTAGCAATGGACTCAACCAAAGCTTTTGGAGAAGACCGTGTTGAGAGCTTTGGAAAACAAAGTTTAGCATCAGACTGTCGTTGACGAGATGGATTGCGAGATGAATCAATCAGCAAAAGAATTTCATCACCAGGCTCCATATCGATTTGTTCAAAGTAAACTGAGTTACAAAAAAAAAATGTCAAATAGATATAAGAAACTTTGCATCAAAAAATAAGTAAACTTGCAACTAACATAGAAACAAAAGAGACCTAACCTAGCAACCAAAACACAACTAACATAGCATATACAGATAACTAACCTAGCAGTAAAAGACAATTAACCTAGCAGAAAAAGAGAACTAACCTAGCAGAGATATATAACTAACCTAGCAATGAAAGACAACTTTCCCAGCAGCAACAAGTAACTAACCTAGCACTAACGGACAACTAATCTAGCACCAATAGACAACTAACCTTGCAACAACATACAACTAACATTGCAACATGATAAACTACCCTTGCAGATATATATAACTAACATAGCAAGAACAGAGACCTAACCTAGCAGTAAAGACAACTATCATTGCAACATGATAAAACTAACCTTGCAAGGATATATAACTAACCTAGTAAGAACAGAGACCTAACCTAGCACCAACAGACAACTAACTTAGCAACTTGATAAAACTATCATTGCAAAGATATATAACTATCCTAGCATCTACATATAATTAACCTAGCAATAAAAGACAACTATCCTAGCAGCTATAGATAACTATCCTAGCAGCTACAGGTAACTAACCAAGCAACACCAGACTACTAACCTAGCACTAACAAACAACTAACATAGCACCAACAAACTACCTAGCAACAACATACAACTAACATTGCAGCATCACAAAACTAACCTCGCAGCATCAGAAAAATAACAAAGCAACACAGACAACTAATCTGCCAACGATAGACAACAAACCTACCAACGATATAGACTGCAAAACATATTACTTAAATCTATTAAGACCTAAAAACCTAAAATCGAAAAAGAGATTACAAACAAAAACAAGCGCAAAAAATACTCACTGATTAAGACGAGAATCTGCGAGAATAGAGACTAAGAACGATAAAACCGAAATAGAAATTGAGACGAAAAGTGAAATGAAATCGAAAGTGGAAGAGAATGGAACAGAAACAAGGAGCAAGTGCGAAAATAGAACAGAAACAATGTGCAAGTACGAAAGTGGAAGAGAAGATAAAGAAGCGCCCGCGAAAATTAATTAATATAATGAATTAATCATGAACGTTAGATTAGATGCGGAAAGAACGGACGAGATGCGGTCTCACGTCCTGGAACCAATCCCTATATATATAGACAATATTTATTTAATAGTAAGTAATTAGACAATTTGACAATTAATATCAAGTAATAATAATAATGCAATAATTAATAATAAAAATAATACATAAATAAACGGGGCATCACATCGCGAGCCCGAGACGTTCCATTCGTGATCCCAACTTGTTCGTGTGCTGTTCTCGGTCAATCCGAATCCGCCAGATTCAGAAAGTTTTAAGCCGTATAGAGTTTCTCACGTCAAATATTTAGATCAACTGCCCATAGGTTTACGTTTATTATTGAGTTCGTACTTGTACATAACGAGATCCTCATAGATCCCAACACTGCGATGTTTCACTCATTTGCCATCGCGATGACCTCCTCGCGACATCATCTCACGGCGCGAGCTTCTGTCCAATCGCGGCGCGACTCTCTAGTAATTTTTTCGAGTCTTTATTGATCATTCATGTGAGTCGCTCAATTATATGCATTCTTAAGTCGACGAACCTTCGCCCACATCACTTAGGGGGTGATTGTTTAGGATTTGTACAGTAAAAAAACTAATCAAAACTCAAATTTAACTCAACTTTAGCTCAACCCCACTATCTTTTATATTATCAATATAATTAAATAATATCAATGAATCATTCTTACACATCACATCAACTTTAATTCACTATTCATCAACTCACATAATTTTAACTAACTATCACTTTCAATCATTTTTCTCATACTTTACATCAAATCAAATTTATTTATTTTATTTAAATATTATTCTAATATATTCACTAACAATTAATCATACCACCTCCTTTTTTCAAAATTAACTATAATTAAAAAACAAATCAAATAAAAACTAGTTGAATTCATAAACAATTACCCCTTATTCTTAATTCTCGACCTCCATAATCTTTTTCTAATTTTCCTATAAACGACAGCTTTCACTCTCTTGAGTCCTATCAAATTTTATAATTTTTCTAATTTAAATATATTGGCCACATAAAAGATTGCTCTTTTTTGTTTTTTCTTTTTTTGCTTTATGTTTTTTCAATGGAGAGTTGGGGTCGTTTCGATTTGCAATCCCAAAATTATTTAACAAGTAAAATAATTATATTTGCTGAATTTGGAGGGGCGGCTGTTGGTCAAAATTGAAGATTGGTCACATTTATCAAAGAAAATCCCTCCCACGTTTACTGTCTCCGCCTTGCACCACCCAACCGGCGAGGCTGACTAACTAAAGGATATATGTTATTATTATTATTACAAATACAGAGAGTTGATTGGAGGTGAATAGATTCTGCAATTCGTGTAATTTTGACGAAAGCCCTAGAATAGATTCTTTTTTTTTTTTGCTTATCCGTAATTGCGTTGGAGTTTTGATTTTCTTCGTTTGTTGATATTTTGATAATGCGTAATCCGGGATTTCTGAGTTGTTATTTTGTTGTTGTAT